CTCCCTCGGCAGGGGAGGCCTTCGTGTGGCGACGGTGGGGGACGTGCCGCGCCCTCCTCCTCAAAGGCTGCTTTGCCCGAAGGAGAATTGCGCTTTGGTTTTCTCTTCTCCGAGGGGGCTAGGCAGTTTGCTTGCCTGCGCCGTCTGGGTTGGTCTTTGTGTGCTCCGCAAAGACCACCAGGAAATCAGTCGCAGAGGGTCTCTCGCTGTGGTCGGCTCGCCGAATAGATGCCTAGCCGCGGCTGTCTCACTTTCTTCATGTACGCAGGCAGAGCCAGTCAGAAGTCCCACTGGTTGCTGTCTCCCTGGTTTTCAGCAAATTAGGGGTTATTTTTGTCTTTACAGTGTTAACGTTTCTGAGCACAGGAGTTTTCTCCGTGTTGTACGTAAGCATGTTGATACTCAGGAGTGAAGCATGTTAATTGTTTCAGAAGGTTCCTTTACTCGCTTCCTTTTCTGGTTGGCCTTGGTATTTGCCAACTGGAAAAAGAGCAGACGTGCTTAACTGGGAGGTCAGTATGAATTATGCTTAAGCCCTGTCCTGTATTAATTTCATTTGGCTGTTGAGTGCTCGCATTTGGCTGGAGCTTATAGCCAAACTTAACCTTATACTAGTCTTGAGGGAAAAAAATGCATACGTACGTAATTGTGTGCTGGGAGCAGCTCTGTTGATGACAGGTTTTGCATCATGCGTATATGCATGTCATCCTACTATATAGTGCCGTCTGCAGGTCACGTCCCCCCTTCTGACTTCAGTAGATCTAGTCATGTTAAGTTGGGTGTACAAGAAGTATATATTCAAGCACCTCTGTTAAATGAACAAAACTTGTTTATCTGTTGAACCTGAATACTAAGTTCATGTAATTCCTGAAAATAAGCTAAAATACAATGAGTGAAATTCATGAAAATGTAATGGGTAGAATGAACTTGCTCATTATAGGCCTGAACTTAGCCTTAACTGCATAAGATTGTATTTCATCACTGTGCACAGAATCTGTCTGTATGACAGTGTAGACAGTATATGATTCTGTGCCAATTAGTGTGTATGCACGTGTACTGTATGCATCTTCACAAAGTATTTGTGTGACGTCCTGCACTGAGAACTGTTCTGGCATTGTGGATCTTTGCTTGAACTCAGCAGCCCACCCACATGGACTCGGTGCAGGATCAGGCCTTCAGGCCTTGAAATTAACTGTGAACAATCTCAGAAATAGCGCAGAAGAACGTTTCAGTGGATTTCAATGTTTATCCAGTATTGGAACAAATAGCCTTAAAAGAAAAAAGCTGTCTTAGAGTTGTTAGGGTTGTTTTCTTTTTTTTTTTCCCCGCTAGTGAATGTATCTGTAAGTGTTCTGATTTGACACATGCTACCAGTAAGTTGTACTTACATGTTGATTGTGATGGACCATTCCTTTTGTGATAAACGTTTACTTTAAAAACAGAAGTACAATTGCTCATTTCACGCATGGAAAATTAATATGAATTTGTCTGTTTTGTATGACAAGTTTTGGGGGAGTTGCTTTTGGTTTTAGTTTTCTGTTTTGTTGTTTATTTATTATTTACTTATTATTCATTTTTTCGTTGTATTGTTTATTTATTTATTATTTATTTATTTTTACTTCCGTCCTTCCTTAATGCTTTGTGACCTATATTGGTTGTAGGGTTTTGTTCCCTTGTGTCCTGCTTCACATATTTAGAATAATAGAATTCATATCTAGAATTATTTTAATTAGCTTAGTTGGATTTTGCTTCGTAGAATTAATAAATAATTTTTAATAAGACGCACATAGTACTCTTTAAGCGTTTAAATACAAAGTGAATAAATTGTAAAGTCTTCTTCATACAGGATGTTACCAAGCTGACACCTCTCTCACCAGAAGTCATCAGCAGACAAGCCACAATTAATATAGGTAAAAAATAAATGTCTAAAAAAGAGGGGGGCCTTACTGTGACTCTGGTGCTCATGCATTAGCATATGGTACCTATGTGACAGAATTTTTAAAATGTTCTTATTGAAGCAGACAGTAATACAGATATAAACATAGTTCCTAGACATAGTGTTTGCATTTTAAATGTTATCAAGAAACGGAAAACTTGTGAGACCCTTTTACCTTGAAAATCACTGTGGTTTTTTGCAAGAATATTATATGGAAGGATGGTTGGGGGGTAATTGGGGAGTAATATTGTATCTTAAAATTGGACAGTAAAATGAGTTACATGAAAATGCAAAGATTTATCTGTTTAGAGCTTATCTTAGGATTTTATTTGTTTGAACAAAAATGATGAAGGAATCCATTTGTGCTTCTGAAGGGAGCTCTGGACCTGCTGGCTCCAGAGGGTTTGGGGCAGTAGCATACCGTGTAATGGAACGTTATACAAATTAAACAGCTGTTTACTCACACACATTTGCTTTTAAAACATAGGTACAATTGGCCACGTAGCCCATGGAAAGTCGACAGTAGTCAAAGCTATATCTGGAGTTCATACTGTCAGATTTAAAAATGAACTGGAAAGAAATATCACAATCAAGCTGGGTTATGCTAATGCCAAGGTGAGTCATTACAATGAACCTAGCACTTATGTTCAATTTGACTTACTAATGTATTTGACGTTGGACATAAGCTTGTAACAGGCTTTTGATTCATTAAACTTCTTCTAATTTTTAAAAAATAATTACAGATTTACAAGCTGGATGACCCAAGCTGTTCCCGACCAGAGTGTTACCGATCTTGTGGAAGTAGCACCCCAGATGAGTTCCCTACAGATATTCCTGGCACCAAAGGGAATTTTAAACTAGTCAGGTAACTGCTGTAAAATGGAAGATACAAACTGTGTTTTGCTTGTTTGTGCTTCCCTTCTTGTGACTGAAAATAGTCCGGATTGAGCTGCAAGGTGAATGAATGGTTCTGGTAGACCACATGCTCTTGCAGGCTGTAAGTGGGGTACCCCTAACCTCTAAGGTATCATTTAAACTGCCTTTTTTTTTTTTTTTTGTTAAATATTAGTGATGGTGCACAATCCAGGGAAAAGCATAGCAGTATTTTCTGTCCTTGGTTATTTTTTAAGACTATTTAGTAATTTTTTTTTTCTGCTCTTATTCTAAGTACATTTTAAAGCCACCAGTAAGAACTACTGTGAACCCCACAAATCCATTTTTGAAAATCCTTTTTGGAGTGTAATCTTCAAAGACTTTTCCGCTTGTAGGAAGAAAAAGTGCAACAGAGTTCTTAAAATGGATCTATGAGACCTTGATGCTTATCATGAGATCAGGCCTGTAACTAGGGGTCAGGCATCCTTTATTTACTTCGTTTCTAATAAAGCATAGCTGCAAGCATCGTCTCCACAGCAGTTTTGTTGGTCTTTGCAGTAACTGATTGTTCAAATGGGACTAGTCACAAAGGCAGTGATTGATTGTTCAAATGGGACTAGTCACAAAGGCAGTTGTACAACAAGACTCCTAGTTTGTGCTTATGTGTAAAATACTGTTACTGCTGTAATCACGTATTTCCTTCCTTTCCTCAGATTCCCAGTAGGACATTTGTTCTAACAGTTTTTGGTGGAGTGTGAGAGTTATGCAGCCATTGTTAAACTATCGCTTAAAGCTTTGGATTCTTTCACTTACTGTTCGTTTGCTAATTGTACATTTTTAACCTTGCCAGCTAGCAGCAAGTCAGTTCCTTGCTTTTTGGTGGCACGCTACCAAGAAACAAGGATTCTTGGTGAATGTAGTTCATACAAGAATGTAGTGCCTCAATTATTACAGGCTGCACAGTAGAATTGTGAGATTGGAACTAACACCTGTAATGTTGTCAGTGTACATACTTCTTAGAAGTGAAGTGCAATTGTAACTATGTAATTAAAGGCACACATTTTCGAGAATGGGAGACATCTTTTAAAACGCGTAAGAGAAATCAAGTACAATATGCTATATCCTGTGTATGTGGGTTTTTTAAAATCTGGTACGTGTAAACTAGGTCTGACTTATGTAAATCTGTGAAATATTAAAGCCATACCTAGTATGAAGATACAGCATTGAATCTTAAAACTCAGAAAAAATATTCAGTAGCTGATTCTGTAGTCTTTGTTTTTATGAAAATACTTACAATTTTCACTTCTCAGCATCTCTGTTGAAGCGTTCATTTCTTTTGTGTTTGCTATATGTTCTTTCTTTTTTTAAGGATGGTTTTTAACCTTTGTGTCTACTTAGCGTTCATGTGAACCAGTCACAGAAATTGTTGATAATTGGCTTTTGGATTTCTTTCTACCTTCCTTGTACCTACAGGCACGTCTCTTTTGTGGATTGCCCTGGCCATGATATTTTGATGGCTACTATGTTGAACGGTGCAGCAGTGATGGACGCAGCTTTGCTGTTGATAGGTAATGATGGGTACACAAAAACGGAGCTTTACTTTTTTAATATCATGAAACTACTTTATACAGATTTAGGGAGCAGTGTGGGAGTGATTAGTTTAAAAATGTGGGCGTTGTTGAGATGTATTTAGAAGAGCTTGAGCAGTGCTACGAAAAAAGTACCCCAACATATACATATGTATTACTTTAATACAACTAAAACATGGTCATTAGTCTGGTAATCATCGCAGTTGATAGGTTGGTAGGTTAAAATGAAACCTTGTAGTAGTGTAGTATGGTAAAACTTATATTATTTCATGGAAATACATTTGGCTGCAGGTATATTTTGCATTTCTTAGAAGTTTCAGTTTGCTTTAAATACGTAGCCTTAGCCACGCAGGAGAGTCAAAATACAAATGGTAAACCCAGATGAATGTGGACAGAACAAGGTACATGAGATATATACTGATTTAGAAAAGTCTTGTTCTGATTTTCAAACAACGGGAAGTGAGTAAAATCCATTTTCATACATCTGTAGAACGGTATAGTGCTCTGCAGTGATAAAGAGTGATTGTGTTTTCTGGACAGGGTGTGCCAACAGACGAGAACAACATCTTTAGATACTGCAGTTTAAATAGTCAGAGGTAGCCTGATAAGCTGTCATGCCTCCTGCCTTTTTAGAGCTAGAACATGTGAGTGAGCTCGAACGTCATAACGAACACCTCAGGCCAAACATGGCTTCTCTGGTACCTGGAATCCAAGCCACACTGATAATTGCCCTCTTCACATGCTTCATGTATTTATCATCTGTCGTGCAGTTGGGAGGTCTTGGCATTTTTATCGCTTTGGTGATAAGAAAACACTAAAGCGTCTTAAGATTTTTTTGAAAGGTCAATTACGTTATGGTCAGTTCTCAGCTGTCTAGGGACCTAAGGGATGGAATGATTCAAGGTGACACAAGTTAGCTGTCCAGTACCTTTCGAAATTTTAAATGTATGTTTCTGCTGGGAGCGAGTAGAATGGGGACCACTGCAGTACCATCTCCATGGTGCCCAGTGACAGGACAAGAGGCAACGGGTACAAACTGAAACACAGAAAGTTCCATCTGAGCCTGAGGAAAAACTTCTTTGCTGTGAGGGTGACAGAGCACTGGCACAGGTTGCCCAGAGAGGTTGTGGAGTCTCCTTCGCCGGAGAGATTCAAAACCCGCCTGGATGCGATCCTGGGAAATATGCTCTAAAGACCCTGCAAGAGCAGGGGGGTTGGACTAGATGATCTCCAGAGGTCCCTTCCAACCTCGGCGATTCTGTGATCTCCTCTGTCATGCGTTGTGTGGATACCAAAGCCAGCAGTCCTTGGAAAGAAGTAGATGACTGCTAGCTCGGGTGTCTCATATATAGGTTAACGAGAGATGACTGTAGTATTTTTATAAAGGCACGGTGGAAAGTGCAGGGGCCCTCACCAGGGGATTTGTGTATCTTTATAGTTTCTGTATTGCAGTCACTTTTCTTCTTTCAGCTGGTAATGAGTCATGCCCTCAGCCCCAGACCTCAGAACATCTAGCTGCTATAGAAATCATGAAACTGAAGCACATCTTGATTCTACAAAATAAGATTGATTTGGTAAAGGAGAGCCAGGCTAAAGAACAGTATGAACAGATTCTTGCATTTGTACAAGGTAAGTTTTCAACAGCAGAAACTGTCAGTGATGGAAGTTCTCCAGTGTTGGGACATGGTGTTTTTCTACACGTCCAGAAGAGTTTCTCTTACTTGGATTACACTGGTGTATGTAGTCTGGTAATTTAAAAAATAGACTGTTGAAATCATGCTTCTTCCCTGTTCCAGACTGCTTAAATACAGTAATGTTATTGATGTAAAGCTAATAGCAATAACTAATTGTCTAGCAGATTTCACAGAACTTGTTTTCTTCTTCGTAGCCCTCTTTGTTTCTGCATAGAGAGTGCACTGTGATTTTATTGCAATGTAGGGGAGAATGAAGCAGCAATGTTATGATAACCTTGTAGGTATAAGTGGGTTTTTTTAATCCACTGACAAAAAGTCGATCTGTCATCTCTTGCTCTAAGTCCAGTTCAAGCAGTGTTATCATACTCATTCCAGCAGTTACCCACACCAGCCATAGAGTTCTGTTCAACTTTGTTCTCTTTCCTTGAGTTTCATCTTTTGCAGGAGCTTCCACTGTTTTCCCTGCTTATCTGATTTAGCAGGAGCAGGTAAAAAGCTATGTGGCTAAGTTATCACCATCAAAAGTTGCCAATGGGTCTGTCCTTTCTTTTTTTAGACTTGATACCTTGCACGAGAAGCTGCTCGTAACAGCTGTGTTGAGGTGGCTTGGTGCATAAATTTGGAGTTCTTTTCTGAGACCTGGAGTTATGAGATCTAAATAAAACTAATAATATTTAGCAAGTCTTGGTAATTAAATTCATCCTATCAAATTAAGATTTCTCTAAAACATATGTTTGTATTGCAAAGCTTAGAAAAGGTCATCATTAAAGCAAGGTAGGAATTCTGGGTCTGCACAATGAAATCTGACCGTGAAATCAACACATCAAATATTTTAAGTACCTGATTTCTCTTAGGAAATATAAGTTATGGCTCAGCTGTGTGCCTTGAAACAAGCAGTTAGGATCATTTCTCATTTTTAAATGGTTAACCAAAGAGGTATTTCTGTTTATACCTTCAGAAAGTGACAGAATTTTGTGCTGGAAGGCAATGTAATTAAATTATAAAGTGCTAGTCAGCATAGGGTTACACATTCAAATTAGAGGCTTCGCTTTCATGATGCGCTTTACTGTGATTTTATCCAGTGCATGTATGTTTTACAACTCTTCTGGTGCAGAGCTCCCTAATGTATCCATTGGGAATTAAATGGCTCAAGTAATCCTCTGAACTCACTTCGTACTATTCCCGATCACCAAGTAAGAGGCGAATTCTCTCTCAGAGCAGAAAATTATTTTTCACAGCTTTTTAGAGAGCAGCTGTATGACTTCTGTATGCAATCACCCAGAGGCAACACGCGGGTTGTTTCCGACTGCCTTGAAAACTAGGTCTGGATGGCTTTTGAGCTAATATGGTGAAGGGAAGGGTGGTGGTCGATATTTCTTGTTTTGGGCAATAGGTATAAATTGTCTTGAACTTCGTTAGTGCTCTTAAAAATGACGGAACTCTTGATTATGTTTCTACAAATATTGTATTAAGGCTGGATACTGAACTCAGTTTTGTTTTAGGTACAGTTGCAGAAGGAGCTCCAATTATTCCAATCTCTGCACAGTTGAAATACAACATTGAGGTAGTTTGTGAGTATATAGTGAAGAAGATTCCAGTTCCTTTGCGAGACTTCACATCCGAACCAAGGCTTATTGGTAAGCAAATGGTTATGTCTTTGTTCTGTGGCTCATCTTTTGCTACGTCTATATAAACGTCAAGCAGCATGTTGCTGAGTGCTCTGAAAAGAGGCAAGGTTAGGAGGAGTGTTCAGTGCAGCCTCAGTTCAAAACTTGCCTATTTCCTGAGAGCTTCTGTATTGTTCAGAAGCTTAAATTAACAGATGTGGTTATCTTCATTTGGGATACTTACTGTTTTGTGTGTAAATTCTATGTGCACAAAGTGCAATAAAGTGCAATGAAGATGAGAAACAGGCCTTAAATCAAATTTAAAGTCATAGCAACTAGAGGCATATTTTTAACAAAGTACTGACAAACAGTTATATAAGCAAATGAAATTATTTCAACAGATCGTATAGGTAGGCTAGCCTGTTTCATTAAGAAGTCATGTCTCCTGAGCACGATTGTCAAAGTCTCAGTTTTTGTCTAGCATATTTTAAAAACCAGTTCCACCACAATAAATCAAAAGCAAAAATTTTTACACAAATCACGGGAGCCCGCAAGCTCATGTGTTCATAACACATACCAATTCATTATGTTAGAACAAGGTTACAAAGAAACTGAAATTGTGATTGAAGGTTTTTTGGTTTTTTGGGTTTTTTTTTTAATGTAGTTGATTGTGGCTTTCTCTTTTAGGTAGTGATATAAGTTTTTGAAGAAAGATACTAATTCTTTAAAAACCTGCTCTTAAATATAAACTTGATTACGATTTGATTCCTTTCAGTAATTAGATCTTTTGATGTCAACAAGCCTGGCTGTGAGGTTGATGACCTGAAGGGGGGCGTAGCTGGTGGCAGTATTCTCAAGGGTGTTTTGAAGGTAATGTTTTCTTCCTCCTCTCAGGAGATACTGTAGTGATGGTACTGAGTAGAGTTTTTGCGTGCCTGGTCCAAAATGAATCTATAAAATTGAAATTTGTGGTTGATATTCTTTTTAAACTAGAACATAGTTAGGTGGCAGCTATCCTGTCTGTCTATGGCTTGTTACTTTCCTATTTTAAAATATAGGAACAAGAAACACTGGTCTTTATTTCTATATTCTTTTCTTTTTTGATATATTTTTGTTTCAGTAGTCTTAACTTTTGCTACTACCAATACCCCTTTTCATTGCTTACAAAAACTGAGGGAGCTAATTCTTTTTTGTCTTACCACTTCTATTTGATAAATCATTTTGAAAAAAATAAAAGAATTTTAAAGGTACTTCTGTTATACTGGAAAGCAAACTTCATCTTTGAATGCTTATACAACTCTCATTTTCTTTGCCTTACGGTTTATTGATGCCGGTCAATTACAGTGATCAATTTAGATGTATTTTTTCTCAGTGCTGTAACGTTTCTGAGTGAAATGTCAATGTCATTAAAAAAATAAATTTAAGCTAGAATTTAGGTGTAGGAATGATCACTCATAAAGGTCCTTTACTAAGGCAGCTATTTGGAAGAAAAGTAATTGTGTTTCATAGTTACAGAGCTTTTCAGTATTCTTCAGTTTTCAGTAAACAGTGCAACAGAAGTTTAGAAGTTCTACATTAGCCCAGAACCAAGGACCTGTATAAATAGTAGGTCTTGGAAAAACTGGGTCTCATCTGTGGTGAGCAGTTAGCTTTATGTTCCTGTGAAACACCCGGTTAACTACTTTTTCACCTTTGTAATTAGGTGGGTCAGGAAATTGAGGTCCGGCCTGGTATCGTGTCGAAGGACAGTGAAGGAAAACTGATGTGCAAGCCAATCTTTTCCAAAATTGTATCACTTTTTGCAGAGCACAATGATCTCCAATATGCTGCTCCAGGAGGCCTTATAGGTAAGACTATTCTTTTACGAAAAAGTATTTTGGAAGTGCTGTCCAGGTAACAGGGAATTGTCAATGTATTCTCAATTTGTTGTTTTTAGATCTCCTTCAAATATAAATGTGGCAGCTACCTTTCAGTTATTCTTTGTGACTTCTTATGTTTTAGGTGTCGGAACTAAGATTGATCCAACTTTGTGTCGGGCTGACCGAATGGTAGGGCAAGTTCTTGGCGCAGTTGGCGCACTGCCTGAAATATTTACAGAGCTAGAAATTTCCTATTTCTTGCTAAGGCGATTATTAGGTGTGCGCACTGAAGGAGACAAGAAAGCTGCAAAGGTCTGTACCCATTTTTAGAAAGACAGTACTGTGGTATCTTTTTCCAATTTCTCTTATTTATTAATTCTTTGTGCTAAGTTTTGTTAGCATGTACGTTTTTCTGGTCTGTATAGTAATTTTGTCTCTCTGTTAATATATGCTTATGTCACTGAAGTAACTGGCCTCTGCTTATTTAATATTAGAGAGGAATGCTTTTCAGAGGAGTAGTAATTCATATCAGGATTGTTTAAAGTACTGTAGAGTATTTACACATCATAAAGTTAAGTGTACTAAACGTATTGGTAGTTATTTTTCTTTGCTGTCAGCCTATTTGTGCAATAACTAGTTTTACAAGCATGTTGGTTGACTGCCTGCTTATGTGCTTCTTGTAGATCCTCTCTCTTAAGAACTCTTTACACCTAAATATTTCTGAAATGCTGCAGTTCAAAAGAAACTGTGAACTTGATGCACAGCAGTCGCTTGTTCCATGGTCCACTTTCCACAGAAGATCAAAATAAAACATCATAGCATTTATTGTTAGCATTAAAATCTTAAAAACTGCTTCATGCAGGGGTAAATCGTTTTCACCCTCTTTTTCTCCTCTGTGAAGTGTTCTGTTTTGAGAAGTTGTCTTGATTTATGTAGGCTTAAGGGAAATGAGAACATCAGAATTATGTAGAATGGTAACATATTCCAGTTTGTAGCAATATCTGAGCCAATGTTTTTACTACTAATAAACTAGGTACAGTTCTGTTTGTTTTATAGAAAATGGCACAATGTACTTTCTTGGGATTTCTCTGCAATAAGAGCCTGCAGTACTAAATGGATGACACGTTTACATATTTGTGCTTTCAGAAGAGTGAAAATATAACCTTCCTCCACTGGCACTGTTTTGCATGGTTTATGTGGGGGATAATTATAGTTTTTGAATCCTTCAGCTATGATACTTTTTTTGGTCATTAGGTAATGGGAGATACTATCATCTCTGGTATTTTTTTTCATTAGAGGCATTTTGTTGCTAAACAGTGCTGACTTAATGTGAGCAGTTTTTAAAGCCTAGGCTTCAGAATTTTCTGTGTCTTATTTCAGGTGCAAAAATTATCAAAGAATGAAGTTTTAATGGTAAACATAGGATCTTTATCTACTGGAGGGAGAGTCAGTGCAGTAAAGGCTGATTTGGGGAAGATTGTGCTAACTAACCCTGTATGTACAGAAGTGGGAGAAAAAATTGCCCTGAGTCGAAGAGTTGAGAAACACTGGCGGTAAGTTGACGCTAGATTGGTAGAAGGCCTGATTATTATGTCATCGCCTAAAGAAGTGTGTGAATCTGATTTTACTCTAGCTTATGTAAATGTGTGCCTTTTGTTAAAATTTCTGTAGATTGTTCTAACTTGTTGATACTTTTTTTAATGCAATGCTTCATGCTATTTCTAGCCTCTTTTAAAGAAGCGTTATAACGAAGTTGACTTTCTGTTATTTAACACACAAGGAAACACCTGATGTTCATGGTTTTGTTGCCAAAACAGCCATGCTGTAATTGAGATAACAGTAGGCAGTCTTGACAACGGTTTGAAAGTTCAAGTAACATTAAGCCAAAACCTGTCATCATACACCCAAGTCAGTGGTATTCAGCCTGTGCGGCTCTACGTGACTTTTAGTGAAACATAAAGTAATAGTAGGGGAATGGAGGAGGGACATTCCAAGATTCAAGTATTTTATGTACTGTGAGCAGAGGGGAAAGAAACAAGTATCAATTGTATTGATTCATGTAAATCATAAGTATAGAATGGCTGACTGCACACAGGCATCTGGTAGCTGAAGATGGTGAGCAGATCTGATTGATTCATTTTAGACTTAGTGCCATACTTCTTTTCTAGATGACTACGTATACTGTACTTGTTCTGTGTTCCGTAAGGCTACGTGTATAGCACAGGAACACACGTGTTATTTAGATTCCTTGCTCCTATGCAGCACGCTTGGTGTGAGGGAAAGCATAAGGAAACATAACCATCCATCTCAGAAGTCACAGAATAGTTGGGGTTGGAAGGCACCCCTGGAGATCATCTGGTCCAACCCCCTTGCTCAAGCAGGGTCAGTTAGAGCAGCTTGCCTAGGACCATGTCCGGTTGGGTTTTGAGTATCTCCAAGGTTGGAGACTCCACAGCCTCTTAGGGCAACATGTTCCAGGGCTGAACGCTCACAGTGAGGAATTGTTTTCTTATGTTCAAATGGAGTTAGCTGTATTTCAGTTTGGGCCTGTTCCTTCTTGTCCTGTCGCTGAGCACCACTGAGAAGAATCTGGCCCCATCCTCTTGACACCCTCCCAGAGCACCACTGAGAAGAATCTGGCCCCATCCTCTTGACACCCTCCCATCAGATATTTATAAACATTGTTAAGATTCCCCCTGATACTTCTCCAGGCTGAGCTGTCTCCCAGCTCTTTCAGCCTCTCCTTATATGAGAGATGCTCCAGGCCTTTAGTCACCTTTGTGGCTCTTCACTGGACTTGATCCAGTAAATCCATGTCTGTCTTGTAACTGAGAGGCCCAGCACTGGACCCAGCACTCCAGGATGTGGCCTCACCAGGGCTGAGTAGAGGGGAGAGATCCCCTCCCTCGACCTGCTGGCAGTGCTCTGCCTGATGCAGCTCAGGATGCCATTGGCCTTCTGCCATGAGGGCAACACTGCTGGCTTATGGTCAGCTTGTTAATTAGGACCCTCAGGGTCCTCCTCCGCAGAGCTGTTCTCCAGCCAGTTAGCCCCCAGCCTGTACTGGGGTTATTCTTCCCCAGGTGTGGGACTTTGCACTTCCCTTTGAACTTCATGAGATTCCTGTCTGCCCGTTTCTTCAGCCTATCACGGTCCTTAATGTGTGAAGAACCACCAAGTTTTAAATATCTTATCCATGGGCGAGTGTTTCTTTTTCAGATCAACAGGAAAGCATACCTGAGAATTTCACGCCTCTGTCTCAGAGCTAGCTGACATATTAAGGAAGAGGCTATTCCTGAAAAGCCAAGGAAAAAGATAACACATCTTGAACAGGCCAAAAAAAAAAAAAAGATTAGGACCCAAATTAAATTGGGGAAACCAGAAGGAAGAGGAGAAATTATTTGTATTGGAAACAGTGCTTTTTTTCAAACCATAGACTGACAGCCTATATAGTTTTTAGTTTGAGTTTTGTTGCAAGGTGTCTTGCATCTTTATTTTCTGCTCTCAAAACCTGACCTAATTTGCCCAAAACCTGCCTGTCTCTGGAATACAGGTTGGGCAAGTAATGGCAACCTGATATAAAGACTGTCTTAGTAAAACGTTGCTATCTATGCTGTATTAGAAGAGTAACATAAAGAAACAAAGTTGAGAGAAGGGAAGGGAAGCAGACTGAGAAGAATAGCGTGATAAAGTCCAGTTGGAATGAAGATAGCATATAGCTGGTGTTGTGAAAGGGAACTTGTAATCTCAGGGAATGGAGTACTGAAATGACGAGAAAAACAAGTGAGAAAGCAAGCAGAGAACAAGAGGAATAAAATAGAAAATAAATATATAGAAGCACAGAGGTTAAACAGCAAATGGCCAAACAAACGAGATTACAGTAGTTAGGCCAAGGAACAGTGAATTCAAGGAGACAAGTTATAAGCTATGGATATTATCCTCAAAAAAATGGGAAATACTGGGTTACTATACTTTTTTTTTTTTTTTAATTGACAGACTGATCTCCAGAGACAGCCTCTATTGCCTAGCAAATTAAACTTAGACACACACTTGGTTGCTGTGCATCTGCTTGTGGAAACTGCAAGTTTTTTTAGAGGCAATTGTATTAATAGTATGGACTGTCTGTCTACTGATTGTGGAAACAGACATAGGCTTAATTTTAAAAAGTACTGGCTTTTGTTTTTGGGTTTTTTTTTGAGGTTTATGGTCTATAAAAGGAGAGGAGGGCCTTGATATTACTGAATATAAATAGCAGAGCAGAATATATGCATGTTCTTTCCCTCATCCTTTATTCTGCGTTTCCAGTAGCTGCTCTTCTAAAAGTTTTAAGAACTGAAGGCATAAGAGTGACAGAAGAACGTTGATTTATTTTGGTTGTTTGTAACTACTATGAAAAGTAATAGAAACTGTTTTTCGTTTTGCAGTTTAATTGGTTGGGGTCAAATCAGAAGAGGAGTGACAATCAAGCCAACTGTTGATGACGACTGAAGAACGAAAATGAGTGCTTCATTTTTAAAGATGAAGTGCCTATTTCTATTTTGGGGGGTATATTTTCACAGTGGAATTGGAAGCTGTGCAAACATTATCTTTGAGTTGTATGGCTTCCTTGTACATTTTATTGAATTTTACCCTCTTAATAAAATACTAGTCACTATCACCATTAAAAGTGTAAAAGAAGTGGCGTAGAAGTGGGTTCAATTATCCTCATTTTGGTAGAAATTAATTGTACATGTCTCATGGCTTGTCTAATTTATGTTATTTTGTGTTTGAGACATGTCTGTTTCAGTCCAGCCAGCCCCAGTGTAACACACAAACCAGAAATCTGATATTGAAATAAAGTATTGCTTATTTTTCATTAATTCCTACAATTTTTTGAGTAACAAAAGACTGCAGTGATTGTTCAACCAGTACAAAAATTAAAAACAAACAAACTCTTTGAAGACTAGTACCCTTTTTGCACAACATCCTGTTTTGTTTAGATGTGTATGGTTCTGACTTTGGGACTCTGGCTGTATTACCCTTTGTAACTAGGATGGCAATGTTGACTGACTTCTTAAAGTTGTCACTTACAATATTAACAAGGGCTTTGGATAAAACCACAAAGAAGAAATACAAGTAAACTGAATCTGAACTGGCAGTACTGTTTTTGATCTTATTTTAGAATGGGTGTACAAAAAGAACACCTTTCATTTGAAAGGTAGCTGTCGTTTGTCATCGTGGAGCTGTGTGGGTGACCTGACAGATCTTTATTCTAGAGTAAATTGCTTATTTTAAACTTATATTAGGCTATTGAGCAAACACTAGCTATGATCTTGAATTTAAAATATCTGGAAAAGGCTGTTGAAGGGAACAACTTTGGACAATCAGAAAAATCAGAGTGAAATGAGGGGTTAAAAACTGTGTAAAAACACTTCGGCTTAGTTAGCTTGGATCACATTCCTGAGGAGAAAACGCGTAATAAAGTTGTTTTAAGGTTCTGATACTTTCATCCATTTAGGTTTAACTTTTTCATTGGTACTGCTGTACATAGTTCTGGGTATTTTACATAATAGACTATTTAGCAAGTCATACTACTTTTCAAAGTTTTATAGAGGAAAATACTATGTTTATCTTCAAAGTCTGGTTTGTTCAACATCTTCAAGGGGGTAGTAAGGGTAAATGTTGTTTCACTAGTTAAAAAGATGAATGACTGCGTGGAAGGAGTTTGGTTTTGTTCCTGGTTTTGCGTTATATTTTGTGCTGCCTTATTCCAAATATTCTACATTCTTGTACTCGGTTTCTCCATTTGTAAAGTATGAGATGTACATAGGAAGCACACCACTTTGCACCATAACAGAGCACATAGGGACAGTTTAAGAATAAATGTATTATGTACTGATTTGTGTATATACACCCACTGTGCATTCACTGACTATACAGATAAAATCGTGATCTTGCTGCGATTTAGATGAACAAGGGTAGAGGAAGAGAGATGCAAAACTAAAGAAGGTAAAAAATGACTTAGATTTTCTTGGCCAGGATGAAAGCAGCAACAGATGACTTGCATACTCAGACACTTTACCAAGGATGCTTTTTATAGGAGGAGGGGTGTGTGGGTTTAACTGTTTATAGGTCAGATTTTTTTACTTGAACATAGGTGCGTAGTCCCATTTCAAAGGGGTTGGATAGTCAAGATATATTGTGGAATTGGCAGCCATCACACTTGCTATGTTCTGGAGCAGTGGCTGGAAGTCAGGCAGGATATAATAGAGCACCTCAGATGGTACCAGGTACCTATATTTAGGTAACTGAATCTCTTCCAATAATTTGTCCGAAATGCTTTGGTAATTGGTTTTAGTAGGGTACTGGAATAGTTGTACCTTTTCACTATGGGGAGAAAAGTATCAAGAGGAGATCACCTCCTTCAACATCTGTTAAAAGATTCTTCCAGTATTCGAGAAATCTGTGGTACTAGTTTAACTTAACTAAACAGCCCGGTTTTGTCAACCTGTAATGGGTTCTGTATTCAAGAGAGGTATTGGTCATCTCTCATTCTGAGGACTTCAGTAACACTGTTTTTACGATATAGCTCAAATCAAACAGGCAGCTTCAGAAACTGAGTACCCCATTATGTTTACCCATATCGCAAATAGTATGCTGCCCTGCAAACCGCTCTCAGCTAAAATTTGGGTTGGCTAAATGGTTTAAGAAATCAGATTTTAAGCAAGCAAAGGTGGACAACATTTAAAACTGTTTCTCTGCTTGTGCTAGCTTTCTGTGAGTTCCAAAGGGATGACTTCTTGTTTCACTTGGTTTTATGCACAGAAATAAGGTTATTTTTAATAAAAATGGATGCTGGTTTCCTATTTTTTTTTCATGGAAGTGAAGTCAAGTTTAAAACTGAACAGAAAATATGGGAGGAAAGAAAGATTGCTCTCCAGAGCCTCCAAGCAACCGCCAACCTGGAGAGGCTCTTCAGCTCTGTGACGTATACCTTAGTCTTTGTGGCTGGAGATTGTCCAAGGTCAGTTTTTCCATTGCATAAGGTCCTCTAGTGTTTTTAATTTATTTATTTAATATTTCTGTGTTTATTTAATATTTCTGTGAGACTGTGTTTATTCCTCTTTCTTTTCTCCCTACCCTTTCTCCCATCAGCTTTCTCCTTTGTGGAAAAGAAAGGTGAAAGTGATTCCTTTATTGCCCATCCATGTTTTTACAGATGGTCTCGTTACCATGTAGACAAAGATGTAGTTACTAACAGTTACAGAAGATGCAGAAGTGCCACTCTGCATCAAGCTCTGTTCCATTCAGATCTTGCCGAGAGGTAAGAGAATTATCTCCGTCACCTGAAGTTTGTCTCACTGGAAACTGTAAGGAAAAAAGCGCATTTCCTGAAGTCACTAAAACGAAGGTCGGTCACCAAAGTAACTTCTGTAGAAGCACAAATACTTTAGGGAAGTTTCAGATTAATGATAATAACTATGGTCATATAGCTGCTTTAACCCCGCAGAAGTCTGGATTGCTGTTAAGGTTTGGTCCTATCCTGTTCCTGGATGTTCGTTCCGCGTGCATCTGTATCGGCTCTAGTGCTTGTACAGATGTGCAGCGCATCAGATGAGGAAATGAGTTTGGAAGAAAGCTAATTTTGCTTTGATAGGCTAAAAGCTGACCTGTTCTCTAATCCAATTTCCTGTGTGACCACATGAAGCTTAGCCGTGGCGCTAAGAAGTGATAGAAATGATAGGAGAGAGGCCTATGAAGGAAAGGACAGTCTCATTTGTCGGCAGCCTGGATTTAAAATGTGGTTTCATGGCCAAATTATCTGTCCTAAGGTTGTAGGTGACAGGGAACGTGGGACGCTACATATTTTGGCTTCCTTAGCTAAGAAGAAAACCTCCAGTCTCCTTTGGTATCTAACATAACTTACAACCTTATATATATATGTATTCTTAGTTTAATGGAGATAGAGTGCAAAGCCATATATATATATATATATATATATATATATATATATATATATATATATATATATATATATATATATATATATATATATATATATATATATATATATATATATATATATATATATATATATATATATATATATATGGCTTTGCACTCTATCTCCATTAAACTAAGAATACATCCTAGTCTAAGTGCGCATATCAGTGCTATAGATCTATAATTCACACTGATCATGCAGTTAAAGCCAGTATATTTTTAACGGTATGATTATAATTCCAGGTAGTAAAAATATAAATGATTTCTGGCTGTTTTATTTTTTCCACTGCTTAATTATTTTTAGGAATTACTCTGATCAGCTGATTAAAGAATGGAGGCACACTTAAGACTATCCCTGGAAGATGTTACTGTGAATGCATTTTCATTTCCTAGAATATGTGCTTAGTTGTGTAACAGCGAGGATTATATGAAGAGAGCATTTCTCAGGGTTGCAGCGGTGGTGTTGCTGTTAATAGCTTACTAAAGACATTGTTAATGTCTTTCAAAGCGCTGGTTTTCGCAAAAATATGGGCAGAGAGTCATTCTCTTATTTTCATCTTAAAGTTTTTGTTAGGCCTTAGTACATACATACACTTATTTATGTTATTACGTATAAGTAATGCTAGCTGACTAGAAAAAGAGAAAAAGATCAGTGAATGGATGCACAGGAACTAAATAGAGCAATTCTGTCATGTAGAAAAGGGATAAAGGCAAGCTAAGAGCTTTTGTTTGTGCACAATGCTTATGGAGATTTATTCCTTGAAGAAACAGCTATAAGACATTGAGAAATATTATGTCAGGTCTTAAAAGATTCAGCAAGGATTTAGGATGGTGTTTTATTTTGTTGCATTACGTACCTTGAAAAGAAGAGGTTTCAGAAAAAGTTGATTTGTAGTCATACCTGGGAAGGCAATAAGAAATCGCTTCTTCAGCCTTATTGACTAAAGGACTTGCTTCTAAAAGTGAAAGTTTAAGCTCTACATAATCACCCAAAACCTGTAGTCATACACTGATGTGTAAAGTTTGTTACTGTAGGAGTTAAATACATGTAATGGTGAAGCTGGTAACTATTTGGGTAAGAAGAAAGTTTCTTAGTTCTTTTTTCAAAGGTGAACACTACTGCTGTCTTATGGGAAATTCTTTTAATCTAGACAAAATAAAATACAGCAGGGGAAAGAAATGCGGGTGACTAACTGTCCTGATAGTTTAACGCATCATTACATTAGTTTCTTCCTGACTCTGCTTCCCGGCTTGAGGACACTGAATGTTTTTAGATAGTGTTTTGTATTGGCTCAAGTTATACTAAGGCATTGTAAGTGGATACAATGCTGACAGGAGACATTGTTGTGTCAGGCTGCATTCCTTCAAGATTATTTAACAAGGCAGCATGACGTAACAGAGCCCGTCTTTAATACAAGTAAGTAGATTTCTTGTGCAGTGGCACAAAGTTAAGGGGCTGTGTCAGTCCGTAATTTTTCCCTAAACTTCAGTACGTACATGGGAAATGGCATTGCCAACCGAATCTCATATTATGTTCTAAAGGAGTCAAGCATGAATTTTTCAATTAACATCTTTGCGGATTTTCTTCTACTATACGCAACATCTCAAAGCATTTTTAAATTAGGCTTTTATTGCACTAGTTCTCTAAGCTCCTCCCAGTTCACTGCTGGAAACGGAGTTTCTACATGTTTTCCACGCTGATTCATCTTGACAATATCCTCAGTATTGATTACACGAAAAATGTCAACTTCTGCCCTGTTACTATTCACATGCTGGTTTCCCATCAGTACTTCCACTAGGCTAATGCCTAAACTATGCACACTCCTGCAGTTCTGGGTCACTTCTTGCTGCAAGGCCAGGGCTAAACATTTACAAGGTTGCGCATAACTGCCCTCCCTTTATAATAATATTTAAACGCTGCACAAACTGCAGGTTTCCAGACCATGTCTCCTCCTTACCATAAGATGGCGCATGTGCAGGCGTGATTATATTCAGTTGCCTTTTTACTGTAATAACCAGCCTCTATGTATAAAACTTGTCTTGCATCAATTCTTCCATTACCATAATTATGCTGGCACAGCTGGCTTTAATAGCTCATGTTCACGAACCCTAATGCTGGAATTATGAACGTGCTCTGGCTTTGTGTTGCTCGTCTCGTTGCTGTAAAGTAATCTGTATCTGTGAGCGTACATCTGATTTTACGTAAGGCTCCAGGTCCATCTCACAGGCCTAGCAGAAGTGCTTGCTTCCCATCTTTCAAGACTAAACCCAGATACAATAAACATTTGTATAGACTTTTTTGGGCACAGTGAATAATATTTTAGTCAATTACTCTATGTGTAAGTGATCCAAATATGTAAGTAAAGTCTCCTCCTTCCTTAAAGGATTTTTAAAAAATCTCTTAACATGGGCAGTGTGCCACAAAGAGGGAGTCACCAGAAGAATTTTGGTGCCAAGCAGTAAGAATCTTTTAGAGGAATTACTTTAAACATTTAAATAAAACTTATTCTTTAATGTGTGTTAGAAAGTACAGAGGACTAGAACACCACACCCAAGCACAGATGAAAACTGTCAAAATATTTCCGCTGAAATAATGTTGATATACACAATATTAACTTGTTTTGAGGAAGGCTTCATTGAGAAATTGCAGGGGATACTTTGATAAAACACCGTCTTTTCCGTTCAAACAGTTGCCTTCTAAAGCCTAGTATTTTTTTTTTATTATTTCAGTACATTTGCAAATGAGCATTAAGAGTCTCAAGTTAAACCTCATGTTCCACAATCCTACTAATATCACCCCCCCCCCAAAAAAAAAAAAAGAAAAGGTATGGGACAGCCAAGAGGATAGCTGTCATTGCTGGAATCTGTCATTTCAGCCCTCTTATTCACAGAAGGAACAATGCCCACAAGGTAGGGTTATGTGACTTGAACTCCCCCTAGCAATCTAGGGGGCTTCTCATGTAAGACTTCTCAGAAGGGCTTTTGGAATATCCGAATTAATCGAGGCAACCAGCTATCCTTTATTGCCTCTTTTGTCAACATTTGTAAAGAAATCTAACAGATTTTTGTTATTTTGAAAGACATTTTCAGCCTCTTCCCCTGCCAAACACTAGACAATTCTATGTTTAATTATTGTTTCAGTTTGTTTAGTTTACGATGAAGCTCTGAGAAGCGTTTTCTTCTGCAAATCTGCCTTAAGGTTCTGTGATTTATTTTTCTTCCTGTTTTTATTTAATCATCTATTATTTAATATGAAATAGATATTTAATAATCTAGTATGGACCTCAAATATTTCTTTTGCAAGATTGTCCTAAGTGCTACACACACAAAATTACAGCCTCAGCTTTTAGGGGTTTTCGTTCAAGAAGCTCTCTTTAATTCTGTGGCTAGGACTGGATGTGTGAAAGTAGCTTATTTTTCCTTGATACATTTTTTCTGGCTACAGCAAAGATGCTGTTGATAATATGAAATTTAGCAAAAAGTATCTTTTGTGGTTTAATTGTTCCTTATTTATGCCTTTGGCAGTAATTGTATACAGCCTGATCCATTATAAATCTAAAATGGAGTCATACTGTTCGCCAGGAAAGGTATGAGAGCATAATTATTCCTTCCCTAACAATTGCAAGCATTCACAAATTCTTGGTACGGTTTTGGCTTCTTGCCTCTTGTCTCGTTGTCTGATAATATATGTGGGTTAAACGTGCTGAGCCAGCAAACGCTGGTACAGCCCTGCAAATCTTCGCTGTGTACACTTTAGGCACGCAAATAGTCCTGTTAATACCAGTGGGACTATTATGTGCTTAAAGGTAAGCTTGTGCTTTTAAGTGTTTTGGAAACTGTGAACTTAAATTACTTCCATTTTCCTGAAGGCTTAATTCTTTATTTACATTGCTTTCTCCTTCATGCTATTACTTTTCTGCCAATTTGCATGTTGGGAATTTCATTTCACAGTTAAAACTTGCTATTTGTTTTCTGAAGGATTTTTTTTTAACTTTGAATGAAGGTGTCTGTTTTGACACTTCCTATCACAGAAAAGTGGGCTCTCAGTACTTACCAGTGCAACTTAGCAGCTTCTGGTCTATTGAAAAGCTTCTACATATACTAAGCAAATCACCAACTCTTACCAATTTAACTAGTTTACAAATGCCCTAATCCTGAGTCAGGTGGGGACAGGGAGAAATAAAGGGCTTCTTCAGAAAGCCCTTTACTTCTAGGAGTTGAAGACTAATATGTGTTTTGCTCCTTGCTTTTGCTTTATTTTTAATTTTAGCCTCATTGGTCCAATCCCATGAGATAGTTTCATGTCATAACATGCATTTTTTATGTAAAGATTACAGAAGAGATTGCTCATATCTGTGCTAGAGAAACTCACTTTTCAATTTTATATAGTATCTTTTATCTGAGGGTTTCAGAGTACCCTTGTGGCTCACACAGAGCATTGTCAATGTAGCTGCGGAAGAGCTTTGCTGGAAAGACAACAAATAACACAGAGCTTTGAACTAACGCCATATAACCCTAAAAATCAGTTTTGTCTTTAAAGCTATTGTAGCAGAAATTTTGTTCCTATTAAAGCCTCACTGAAAACAGGATTTGTGCCTTAATGTAATGGCTTGTTTTGTAATGCCCTGCTGCCTTGCTAAACTATTTATTAGAGAAACAGGGAGGGGCTGGCACAGTCCTATTTCAAAATACAATGCTTATGTAGTCACTGAAGCAGATAGCCCTCAGGGCCATTTACAACGTCTTCTGCCAGAAAGAGAAAAGAGAAATACCTTTTAACTGTTTGAATCTTCTCTAGCCTTTCTTTCTCAGTATCTGTCTGTGCTGTCTTCCAGCAACGCAGTGGGCTGATACCAGTACTTTCACCTTCACGGCATGCACTTGCCAGCAACCCTGGAAATGGTATGTTTGAATCATGGAAAAATAAGGCAGATCAAATGTGAGCTTACAGAAACATTAAGTAAATCTTAGCCTTTTTTTTTTTGACTTTACTTTTTTTTCCTAAGACATTGAAAGAGAGGAATTTAAACCAATATGTTATTTGAAATTGTATACTAAATGATGTGTTAACCTCCCTACCCAATTCAAAAACTTCTTTAAGCTTGCACAGCACTTTGTAAGGAAGTGCTAGAATTAAAATTGTGTGTGCAAACCTACCTTTAACAACTAAACATTAAAAAGTCTACTGAATATGCATAAACCAAGCTCTTTCAAAGCTTTTAATGCAGCCAAATAACTGTCAGTTTTCCAGAGAACGTGAGTGACCCCTAACGAACACAAGGACCACCCTGTTGTTTAAATGTAAGATCTTTTTTCAAAACTTTTTTTCTAACTTTTCAATTAAAAAAAATATTTGTTAACACGGGGGAAAAAATCTGCAGTTTTGATCTCAGGCAGCTGAAAAAACTGTGGCTGGAATCTTCCCAAAAAAAACTGTTTGAGGCCAACACCCCTTATGGAAAATTTCAGACTTGTGAAAGCTGGCAGAGTTTTATGAGCAACTAAAAACCTGCATAATGCAAAATGTCAGATAAGTTTAAAATAAGTGACGCTACCCTGCCTACTTAAAATATTTTTTGAGAGAGCTTATCTGAGATGCACACCTGTGGAGATTTCCTATCAATCAGCTTTACAGCATTTTCACCCATTGAAACCTATTACATCAGTTTAAACATATTGCCTTTATGTATCAACACTGTAAGGAAGCCTATAAATATCTTGATCCTCTTCTGATCTTTCTCTACTATTATCTTGTACAGCATAGCCCAGGCAGGCTGAACGTCAGCTCTTTGAATTCCTCTTCTCGTCCTAAATCCAGGTTGCGCTTCAGTTAGGAGGTTCTTTACATCGGACGCGGTCCTTCTTTAAGATGCCTGGTAATATTTGCATAAAATGTGTCAGTCACAAGAGTGGTAATTTTGAACACTTTTTTTGAATTGCCCTTTTAGAGTAGGAACCATCAGAAGCTCTGTCCAAATGTGAGGCCATTTTTTTCAAATCCCAAACTGCACTGACAAATATATGATATTCTCAGATCACATTAACTATTTTTCTTTTATTTTCTGCTCCTCTGCTGTCCAGTGGCAATATCCCAGGATTATCATGACGAACTTCAACTGACAAAGTTGTCATGCTTCTTTCACAGATTCTCCTCTGTTGCCTTCATTTCCAGCATTACACAGTTCCCAGCAGTGCTTACCCCAGCACTAGGAAAAATTATGTTTTATAACGCCATGAAGACCTTCTTTGAAGACTGTTGGTTATTTGATAAGCGGTTTTAGTGTTAATTTTATTCAAAAGAACTCTGTGTACTAATGCATGGTTGTTCAGGTCTATCTTGTTTCATTACCTCATTCACTGCAGCTAGTTTTCTCATCATAGAGAAGTATTTCTCTTGTTTCTCTCTTGCCCCATCCATCTTCATGTGTACTGAAGCCTCTAACTCCCCTACATTTCAGCTGCCTGTAATGCATGAGCAGTTCAGTGAGAATCCTCAGCTTGTCTAAAATTGTCCTAAATTTGGAGATTGATACACATGGTCAAATTCAACCACACTTGAAAAATCATGAGGGCTTATCTGACACTAGAGGCAATCAGCTCAATGTACCATGGGGTGGCTTGGTATCCTGCAGTGCATTTGGCATTTTGTCCCTAAGCTCCACGAGTCGATATGAGTTGGGGGCTTCTTTATGCCGCGAGCGTTGGCGTGGCTAGTAATGTGTCTCTCTCTGCAGCCTGCTCATCTGTTTTGACAAACATCAGGCCAGATGCTATCTGAAACCCAGGCATCGAGGCAGCCTGGGTACTTTTTCAGCCCTTGTACCTCCCGAACCATTGCTTCTCAGAAGCTATGGGAAGCTTCCCACCAATGCTGAACCAGTTGTCTCTCCAGGGAGCATGCTGAAGATCAACGGTGATTGCAAATGGGCAGATGGACAGAGCAAAGCCTTTTTGCAGCCTCACGGGGAGGGTGACAGGCAGCACATCAAGCCACAGCATTCCCCTGGTGCTCCAGCCCTGCGGTGAGGGAGCACACCACCTCGTGGGAGCGGGTCATGCTGCAAACACGGGAGGATTGCTAGTTGCTGCAGGTAAACGATATGCCAGGTGACTGTCCTGGAGTTCTGCACTGATTTTAGGCTGTTTTTAATGAGGCAGGTAACTAATAGGAAACACAGAAAGTTCCATCTGAGTATGAGGAAAAACTTCTTTCCTGTGAGGGTGACAGAGCACTGGCACAGGTTGCCCAGAGAGGTAGTGGAGTCTCCTTCCCTGGAGATATTCAAAACCCGCCTGGACGCGATCCTGGGCAACGTGCTCTAGAGGACCCTGCTTGTGCAGGGGAGTTGGACTAGATGATCTCCAGAGGTCCCTTCCAACCTCAGCCATTCTGTGATTCTGTAACAAGAGACCCTGGACAACAAAGCACTCGCCCTGTGGATCACATATGCATAGGGGGACATGGACAGCTTTGTAGGCTTGTGATTCCTACTTGCATGGGAGATTGATCCTATTCATCTCCCATTCCTCTGTCTAGCAGGAGTGCCAAGTCCTGCCTCCTCATCCTGTGACTTCTCCTCTCCGTGGAGTATCCTGCATCCTTTTTGTCTCACTGCTGTGATTTCCCTGAATTTGTTCACGTTGGTCTCTTGGATGTAATGTGATTCAATACTTCATACTGTGGATAAAATATTCTGTCAATTCCAGATGACTTAAGCTGTCTTTGCTTTTCTGTAGGCAGATTCAAGGGACTTTGCTTCAGGCATATTTCAGATTTTCACACGGCCATGTGCCTCTGTCACAGCACAGCAGTAACCACTGCTGTTTGAGGCTATTCCAGCAACTGCTTTCTTGGCAGGATCTTTGCCCAAAGACAAAGTAGGTACAGAACCTCCTCTTGAGACTCATTTTGGGCACAGTGGCTGGGATCAAATTTTCTCCGACGTGTTTCCTGCTGTGGGTCACAGCCCATTTCTCACCGGATGTTTTCAGGTCATACATGGGAACTCTTGAGACCCTCTAGTCTGGGACCTTTTTGGTGAAGGACCAAGCGGTTGCCAGGAGATAATCAAGGGCTGGCTGGTGGCAACCTTCTCTTTTGGTGGCCACCCTTTCCTCAAGCAGTCAGCAAAGAACAGGAACAGGGGCTCAGCCCACTAATAAAAGGACCGGCAGTGCGAAGGCGTATCGATCCTGGAGCACGAGATAACGGAGAGAGGGAAAAAACAAGCACGAATGGCTGAGTGCAAGCACCGGTGGATGGACAACAGAGGAATCTACACAGAATTAAGTGTCTTCATAGGCTGGCACTAGACAATTACATTAGCTTAACTCATAAATGCAAATTAATACCTGAATAATTCTTTAGATATTTTGCTCAGCCTTGTGCAAACTGTAAAAAGCTACAAGAAGCTTCAACAGCAGCTAGCCCTGGACATGTCTTGACAGAGCAAAAGGAGCGGTGTGAAACTATTCTTAAATGGAAGAAATCAGAATACTAAAAAAATATTACTCCCAGAAATGATATTCTTCTAGATACCTTTCTTCCACTTCTTGAAATGGCAGGTGAATTGTCAGACTGCCTAATGTGAATTTTTCTGTGGTAAAAGACATTAAATTTCACTCATCCCTTTGTGAGCCAAAGGACTGGAACTCAGGGAAAAATCCCAGAAAGCCATCCAATCTTGAGCTGAAGACATCACAGTGAGGAGAACCGATTTTGTTCCTTGTGGTTTGCTAGCCTTTGAAGCACCTTTCACTGTTTAGAAAGTCAAGCCTAATTTTTAAATTGAATCTATCTATCTTGTTTAAGCTTCCGGCCATCAATTTAAGTTCTCTCTTTCACTGGACTAAAATGACTTCCAGATACCAGGAAAGCACTACATAATTCATGTATTTCTAGGCTTTTATTTTTTTAAACAGCTAGAGACTTTTAAGCCTCTGAATCCTATGAGGATTTTTTGTGCCGTCTCCAGTTTTCAGTCTATTCAAAAATGTGGATGCTAAACCCGATACAAACTCAGCTTATTTCTGCTAGCTGCTCCACCATTAGCACCCCAAACAGCACTGGCTCCTGTGTTCCAAAACCTCTTTTTGAGGAGTCTTACGATTGTGTCCCTTCAACCTTTTCTAAGGTCTCTGCTTTTCATGATTTAGTAATCCCTTCTAGTTACCTTTTTTTGCATTTACTAATCACAGATACATAATCTTGCATTTAGACATATGAAGACACAACTTGGTTGAATGGTTCCGTTTACAGAGTAATCCAGTCTGTGCGTTTGTTCTGCATTACTGTTATTACTTTCCTACTCCAGCAATCTTTGCGACACCTCCAAATATACTACAGCAACCTTTGCGACACCTACAAATACAATCAGCAGCAATGCTGTAACTACCTCTGCATCATTGATGAAAGTGTTTGGCTAGATACCATAACTAAGGCTCCTCCTCTAAGAACAGTCCGACTATTTGGTCATTTTTGTAATGATATTTATTTCTTTGGATGTCAGTTCACCGGTTTTAAAGCCATTTAACCCATTGAAACTATGTTAGACTAATTTGTGTAGTATCAAATGTACTACACCTACACAATTAATTTTAGGCTCAAGTTTCTCACCTACTCAAGTAATAAAACTAGGGGTGTTTGCCAAGATCTCTGCTCCTTAAACCGCACTTACTGGTGTTGGTTATATTCCTATCCTTTTGCTCTGTATCACAGAAATCCCTTATCTTCTTTTCCGTTATTTTGGTCAAGACCGATGTCAAGACAATGCACTTATTGGTCCCTGGCCCATTCTGCTCAGGCATTCAGAAACCAGCCTTCATACTAGTCTTCCTGGAATTGCTCAGGCCTTTTGAGATCTACATTTATCAATGCAAAGGGACTAGCCACCTCCTCTGCCGACAAAGGAAGCCAGGAGGGTATTTTGAGGAAGGTACCACTCTGCATTTGCCCTATGTTTGTACTTCTCACTATGCAGTGGTTACTGCTAGAAACAGCTTATGAGACGTAACAAGATTTTTGGTCTGACAGCTACTCTTTTATGTTCACTTTTAAGACTCCACGGTTATCTGGACCTGCTGATTAAATAATATGAATATAATGATTGTTTATCCCTCATACTTCCTGCACTTTAGGACATATATTTGCCAGCATGCCTGTGTCAGCATAACTATCCCAAGTATACTATGGGCAAAAAAACGTCCTTAGTACAGTTGTAGCTCACACCACAAAAATAGCGCTTTGGCTGGCATTATTTACTCCATCCTTCCTTTTCCCTGAGTAAAGCAAGTTAATTCTAATGAAGAAACCGACCTGGCTGGCAAACTTATCCCAACAGAAGTTCATAACATAAACCTTGCGGTTGCTCGTAGACTGAAAACTGCTTTTATCTAATCTTCATGAGCTACAAGCACATTTTGCTATTTTTTCCACAAGGAAAACAGAAGCACTTATTCTTCCACCCCTTCTTCATCTAGTGATGGAGCCCTTGCAAAAACCTGTTGTTCCTGACAATGAGCTAAAAAAGCTCTTTGTCCTCCGCTCTCCTGGTCGGGGCAGTTTAGCGCTGATACATGCAGCAGGAAAATGCAAAGCATGGATGCTAACTACGTGGGGGGTTGGGGTTTTTTGAAATCCCCATTTGTTTAAAATGCATGTAGTCTTTGATGTGTATCGTGGGTTGCTTGGGTGAAATTAGTACCTATACTCCATTTTTCCTGGATATCACAACTAATGGCTTACCAGATAGTAGTATACAAGCACTCGGATTTTCAGCCTCAAAATCACATGTGATTTTTTGTATTTAGCTATACCATACTGCTGTTTCTTATGTAGTTAGTTTCAAAGGCGGATTAAAGACAACTGAAAATGAAAAGAGGTTTCCCCAACTCTTCCTTTCACTAGGTCAGCAGCTACTACACTTTCGAGGTAAACCTTTTTAGTGCTGTTAAGAGCAATTTTGTTAATCCTCCTTAGCCATTCCTTTTTAATCAGATAATTGCAGGCAAGTATTGGAGCAGGTGCTCCAATATTAATATTAATGTGCCCCTATTCATAACTAAAATTGAAAAAGTTATGGAAAGATTTAGGTCCTTGAATAAGAAGAAAGGATTTCCTTTTTATTAAAAGTTTCAAACAGAAACTGGAAGACCGAAAAAGTATTTGTAGAAACTCTATGAAAATGCATTACCCAAAGACTATTCTGGGAGAATGAGAACAAAACCCCCACTTCCTTGCCTACCTGGTCTCCCGTTTCCCTCCCTCCCTGTGACTGCACAGAAAAAAACCTGAACATATCACTTCAACGGGCTCAGAATGTTCTTACCGTAAAGTGAAATAACCTTGATTTAACTCTAAATGACCAGTCACCAGTAGTTGATGCGTTTGACCAGGTGGAAAAATTGCTACTGTAAAAGGAAACATGATAAACTGGCTGATAAATAACCTGATTTTGTTGTAGATCAAGAAGCAAACAAATCTTCATGTAAACGACTACAAACCAGTCAACAAAATGCTGATGACCCTCAGTGTGGCATCTCGTTTCTATAACCTAGGGCTGTTAGGAATGGAGGAGGTATAACTTGAGAAATCTGGCAGTGTTACTCAGCACAGTTGTGTTTGCTAAGCATCTTACAGATAAAAGAAAGGGATCTAAATAAGAGACAAGATAAATAGGAAGGAACTGTGACTGCAAATGACTCTTTAGTAGTTAACAATTTGTTCTCATGTAAATTATCAGTGAGATGGAGGAGAACATTATCAGCCATACTTGCAGCCAGACCAACCTTTTCATGACCTGAAGGACACACTGAACTGATATTACACAGACTTACTCTTTTAAGAAAACTGATATAATCTGATCATATTGTAATAACCAACATAATGATTAAATCACCAAGTAAGAAATTACCAGCGCATACCTTCAGAACTAATTCAGTGACGAGCAGAATTTAAGAGGACATCTCAACAAAAGCCACAGGCTTTCATTTGCTTTTGTGGGGGCAGAGTAAATCAGATACAGCACTCTATCTACTGCTGAATGACAGACACTAAAATAAGCTCTAGGAAAAAATACCCTAAAGAAGCACGGGATGACAGGTAAGATTAGAGTCAGAAGGTAAAGGCTCTGTTCATGGAATTTGGGGAACCATCAATACCAGGTATCTACTGGCTCTGCATAATGCATCTGACACAACCTAATCTCATTAAGGTCAGAAATCCCATTACTTACAATACATTTTTACCAGTGCCTACCTCATTCCAGAAGTTACAAAAACAATTGTGCAAGTAAACCTACATTTTTACAAACTGTTGTAAGCCTACTTGTTGCATCTGTAGTTTTCAAGCATGTTCTGCTCTTGGATTCCTCCATTAACTGAGAGAGCAGAAATAGCTGTGAATATCAATTGTAAACAGGGCTTCCTTTCTGGCAGCCCAACAGACAGGAGCTACCATCTTCCTCATGATACCAGGATGTTTGTGGCCTCCTGGTTGCCATCAAAAGCCCTAGTGGCTAGGGATAACATCTGGGTGACAGCTGTATCAGGATGAAACGTCCCTCTCTAACGACTCAAAAGCTGCCAGTATCTGACTCTGGAAAACAAGGGGATAAATGTGAAATAGTTACATGCAGACAGGATGAATGACCAACCAGGTTACAAGTTATGATTCAGATTTTCACAGAACGTCTAGCCATAAGCTTTTCCGAGGTACCATAGCTTTGCTGAGGTCTCTCCCTGCAATGACCTGATCATTTGGATATGCTGAATCTTTGAGGGCAATATGGCCATTCCTTACGTGAATGCCAGAGTAATTTAAATGTTCACTGAACCAAAGACCTTACCCTGGAAACAGGAGAAAATGAAGATAACCCTGCTGTTCATTAGCATTTTCCTTGCACTTGAAGTTTGGTGGCAAAAAAATGGCTTAAAAATCATTACTTGTTGAGGGTGGAAACCTCTCTCTCTGGAGACCATCTAGTCCAACCCCCGTGCTGAAAGCAGGGTCACCTACAGCAGGTTGCTTAGGACTGTGGCCAGTCAGATTTTGAATATCTTCAAGGATGGAGACTACACAACCTCTCTGGGCAACCAGTTCTGTTCGACCACCCTCATAGTAAACATTCTTCCTTAGGTTTTAATGGAACTTCCTCTATTTCAGTTTGTGCCCATTGCCTCCTGTCCTTGTCACTGAGAAGAGTCTTGCTCCCTCCTCTTTGCTCCCTTCCCCATCAGGTATTTATACACAGTTAAAAGATCCCTCCTGCGTTTTTTCTTCCAAGCTGAACGACTTCAGCTCCCTCAGCCTCTCCTCCTGGGACAGATGCTCTAATCTCTCAATTACTTTAGTGGCCTAGCTTCTATGAAAGTATTTTATAATAAAGTCTATTAGATACATGTTCCAACATACCAAGGATGTTATTGATAGTTAATCAAAAACAGAACAAATAGTTTGGGCATTTTTTACTTTTCTCTGTCATATTTACCTTGTTGTTGACTACGAATCTATGATCATCTTTCTCTGGTCTTATTACTTTGGCCTCTTCTGTCCTAATAAGGACATTTACTTAAGAACATTTTGCATTAACATCACATGTACGGTCAAGCTGAGCGTTTCTTTGTAAGGTAAATATCTTAGGAAGCTCTCCTGCAAAACAAGACACAGGGCTGATTCTACAAAAGTAGAATGATGGCCTTCATAGAATTAATCTTATGAAGCGTTACGCTTCTGCTTCTGGTCTCAGTATCGTGATTAAAGTTTGCACAGCGCTCAGAGTACACATTTACCATATGCTACACTGAAATAAAGTACTTCACAAGCGTTACCCAAGTTACTTTTTAAGCCTGTGTGAAATGAGAAAGACCAGTGCCTAAAATTAAAGCTGAGTCAAAGCTGAACCGAAAGGCTCATTCCCACCATAAACACTGCATGTATGCTGTTCATGGCGACCTAGATAAGTAACGTTTGCATCACTTGATAAGTGCAACAGCCAATTTCCCTCCAGCTTATTTAACTGGCAAGAAGAGCAGACAAAGTACTCTCCTCAAGGCCTGAGCCCTCAATTACATAGGAACCCCAACAGACTTGAACGTACCTACTCCCCTCCACAAAGTCACACAGGTACGTAACTTTTTGATCCCTCAAAACGCTTTAAGTTGATCTTTCATGGATCAACAGTGATTTATTTTTCTTAAAAACAAAACAAAAAAAAACACAAAAAAAACCCCAAACCCACAATTTTTTCTGATGGACTTTTAGGAAGACCATCAGAAAACAAAGCTAGCCCGGGCTTTGCTTTTGACAGCACGGCCCCTGCGAGTTATGCAGGCTCTACCAGAACCGCTTCCCAGGTCCTGCTCCCCGCTCTGGCCTTCCCCGCGCCATGGCCGCCGCTTACATAAGGGCCAGCGGCCCTCAGGGAAGCGCCGCACGCCTCACGTGGGCTGGTGCCGCTGCCCGCATGGAAAACTGGGGCTCCGGCTTTGCCCGCT